TCCATGAATTCAATATCGATACCCCCAGGAATCTGCTCGCCGTACGGAGCCTCGACGGCAGGGCCGTAGTTGACATAGTCAGTAAGGTCATAGATCAAACCATTGTAGACACCGAGCGAATATCCGGAATTCGCCATGCTGCTGATCTCCTGTGGCGTATAACCCAGATAACCAACGCGGTTATTCCACCGCATGACGGTCATACTCTCAAAGTACCAATCGGGACGCGAGTCATTCGTAAATGCGCGGAAGTCATGGTACACAGAGTTCGGGTCGGTATCGTTGGCAGAACTTAGAGTCACGTATGGGCTGACGCTGCCGCTCACACCATTGCACAGCGCGGAGACCTTGAAACCATTTTAGAAAGTATTAAACCTTCGTAATTCCTGCTCACCTGAACGGGAAAGATCTTATCCGACGAAGTACCCCCGTACGTCTGAAGGATCGTCTTGACGGGCACAACACTGATAACACGCTGATGGGTCTGCGAAACGGTGGTGAGATCAAACACCTCACCACGGATCGACGTGTACACATTATTCGCCGAGGTCGTATACGAATGCGATGCCAGCTCCGACGTGCTGAACACATGCTCCGTAGGACAGATCACCAGACCGAGGAAGACAATGACGAAGATGGCACACGCGCAGATGAACCAGATGATAAAGTTGATCGCGAGCTTCTCTCTCCACGCTTGTCGGATGTCCTCGCGCTTCATGCGGCCGACCCATCTGAGCATTAAAGACGGCATCCACCATGTAAGAGCCCAGCAAAGCCCGACCCACCGACGACGAGCAGAGCTTTCCTTCAATATTTCAGTCGTCTCGCCATCCCCGATCTCACCCGGCAGCGCCTCCTTCACCATTAGACCCTCCTTATCCGCGTTCTGGAACATGTTGCGAGACGGCGCATACGATTCCGTGCCGTAGTTGGAGTTTGATTCATCACGGTTGCTCGTGAGGCGGCTGCGGTTGTCAAAGTCGTCGCTGCGGAATGACTTGGCCTCATCGTACTCTTCCTCATATAGGTCTGCGCGTTGGAATGGAGATGCGTTGGAAACAAGAGGAAGGGCGGCATCTGAGAAGGCGTTGGCGAACGGCGACTCCTCTCCCATGTGTGCGCCAGGCGAAGTGTAAGGGGCATATGGGTCGCCAAAGCCACGGGCATCAAGCCCAGCTTCCGCCTCAGCATCACGAAGACGGTTGCGCTTCTGCTCCTCCACGTCCTGCGCACGAATGCGGTCCTCGAGCGAGTGGAACGCAGCTTGTGATAAAAACACCTGCAAAAGATCGGTCAATCACTGTGTCATCCGCACCATTAATGCACCCTTGCCTTGTGTTGCCCAAGAACAACGTCACGCTCATTCAAAGACAACCCCGTCCGCGTCTGCTCAACACGCTCCCTCGGAGATCCTTCCGAAATGCCCAGAGCCGACATTGGATCATTGTACCTCTGACAAAACTCCTCCGGTGTCATCCCCACCTCAAACACATTCACATTCCGCTTCGCAATCTCCGTCAGGCCCAGACTGCGCACCTGACCCTTGACAGAACGGCCCTCGAGCTGGTTCGGTAGCTGGGAGTCATTCGGGTTCACACAGAACACGTACCAATTCTGCGTCTCTCCCAGCGTCTCGAAGAGCGTGTCAAGCGCAGAACGGAACTCGCCTGCGACGCAGGGCGTGCCGTTGCCCCCAGCAGCTGTGATGTCATCGTCGTCTTGCTCTTCGACACCGTTCTCGCGCAGCGTGGGCATGCGTCTCACGGTACCCTTGCGCCGGGTTGACGGGGCACGCATCGGCTTGACGGGCTGCTGTGCAGCGACGATGGTGTCTTCGTCCTTGGGGTGCGCCTGCGTGGCGATAGCCTTGCCCGAGAAGAGGCCCTTGACGAACGGATTCATCGATCCAGCCCCCTCTGCACCGTCAGAGACGCCCGAGGAGGCCCCACGGAGAAGGGAGACAAAGTCAGGGTTGAGAGCATCGAGGTTACGCTCCAGGAAGCCCTCGGAAGAGTATGTGACGGGGCCGTTGAAGTGATTGACGGTGAAAGTGGGGAAACCGGAGCGATCGATGGCACCGACCTTGAATGATGAGTGGTTACCCCAGCGCTTGCCAAAGGCTTCCACCATCGAGTGGTCGGTCTTCTTATGCGAGCGGCGAGCCTGGTCATCCATGATGTGGATAAGACCACCCGGCTTGTTCTGAAGCAGCCGCACGCACTCGGCATTGTCAAAATAGGGGACTGTGGGCACAAAGCGTGAGATCCCCTCATTCTGGTATTCGCCTACGTGCGCCTCGAAAATGCGCTTCTGGACGAAGTTCTGTAAACGCTCGTTGGCGAAGTTGACACAGAATTGGTCAAGTGAGTTGGGGCGGCTAGTCATGTTCTGTGGCCCAGGGAGATCAAACAGACCGATGAAGGTGGCGAAATCCTCGCGGCATAGCCGCTGATTGATGTGTTCGTTTAACCATGCGAAAAGAAGGGAATACAGGGTTTTGGCAAGGTCGTCTCGATTATCAGATGCACCGTCAGGGTCAAGGAAAACGGTGCAAAGCTCCTTCTTCACCAGCTTTGTCTTGTAGGACATTGCGCCCTCCAAAGCACTCGGTTGCACACCCAAGAACTCGGCAACAACGCCAAGAACATCAGTGTTGCGCACGACAGCAGCATCAACGTCACGACCACGGTCGACGGTGAACTCAAGGTTCCCAAGGTGTAGAATGGCTGCGAGAAGTTGACACGTCTGAGCTACATGTCTCTTGGATAACCCAATTGTCTTGAGTGCGATCTTGAGCTGCTCGAAGCGAGTAGCATCATCGTCCCGAACGCCGTTTTGGCGCGTTGGGACTGTTCCACGCTGACCGAGGTAGCGATATTGGGTTTTGTCCAAGAGGTGGAGGTGCTGACGCTCTTCCGGGGTAGCACCTGCGACGATGTAGTAGAAGATATGGAAGTTACGCTCTCCTGAGGGCACGGCAGACACGCGGTTGCGCTCGAGGTAGTAGTCGAGGGTCTTGACACCACAGAGACGACCACGGTCAGTGAACTGCAACTCTGTGTATTTGCCAAAGCGAGAAGCATTCGGATTGAATAGAGTGCGGGCGTTACCGAATGACTCGATGACAAACTCTGCGGCGGGAAGCTGGGTAGCGAGTTTGGATCCCTTTTTTCCTGGATTGGAAACGGAGAGCTCAAGGAGGGTCTTGATGGCGAGTCTGCGGTTCTCTGATTTGCCGCTGCCAGTCTCACCGCTGGAATGAAGGGTTGTGTCATTAAATGGATTTAATGAAAATATTTTTTGAAACTTGCCTGATGAGAATGGACTGGTCCTGAGTTGTTCGCCTCATGTGGTAGTAGGCATTATTTGCGAGGTGGAAAATGTGAGGGGGTAGAGGCTCTGTGTTCTCTGAGGTGTCCCGATAGTGTGCAGCGTATTTTTGGAGAACAGAATCAGCGTTTGACGAGACATACTTGTGGGGGTTGACGGCGACGAGACCATTGGAACCGACGTTCGTATAGATGGTTTCAGACATGAAGCGCTCACGAAGACATGAGACTATGAGATCGTCTGACATGGGAGACAAGCCAGAGAGGTCATTGGCGGCCTCGAGCCTCTGGTGGGGGGTCATGCCAGAAGACTGGCGATTCATTGTGGACGCTAATACCCTGTGGTAGAAACGTGAGGATAAAGGGGAAGGAAGTAAGGAGGGAAATGCTCTAGCAGAAGCAGAGACAACGAGGGGAACGGTGAGGGAAAGAAAGACGGGCGGCCAAAGTAGTTGTAAGCTAAACAACAGAGTCCTATTTCCAGCCAACCTATCGTCCTCGTTTTTCTCACGATTCAGATGCCCGCTTAGTACCTTTCTCAAGGCCACATGGCGACAACGACAAATAGCCTCCAGGAACGCTGGTTACGAACGACATCCTCAACAACCACCATCAGTTCTCCATGTTCACCAGCGAGGACCAAGATCTATCTACACACTCGGCTTACGCCCTACACCAGCTCTCGCAGCAGCAGCACGTCTGCGCTTGCTCTCCCTCTCTACGCGCAATGCATGAGACTTGGTCACATCCAGAGTAACTCCCGGAGAATTCCCACCCTTCGTAGGACCACAAGACAGCGGTGACTGGGCTCTGTGTATCATCGCTTGAGTAGGTGCGAGTACGACTCGTGTTCGTGGCAGCTGCGCAGGTGGATGCGTCGATATCTTTGACCTTGTTCTTCGCCGCGTGGGTTTCTGCACTGTGAGATGTTCAGGCACATCGTGTGTCCGGTGAACACGGTGAGAGGCTGGACCCGACACGTGTGAAGGGTACGTCAGATTTTCTTGGTCAATGTCGACGTCTTCGGAACCATCAGGAGGGTTCCATCCAAACACGGTGGAAGGAAGATTGCGTGATACTGGAGAGCATAGCTGAACGATTGGTGCTTCGTCGTTGTCAAAGTCGTCGAGGTAGATGAGTATATTGTTGACGACCGCTGGCGGTGGCTGATTGACAGACGCTAAAGGATAATCAATACAGTGCTTCATGCGCGTTCGACAGAAGACTTACGTGCATGCGTAGGCTCATCTTGGCTTGATATCTCCACCCCAGTGCATTCCATCGGCGTAGAACGGTCCTTCCTCTCCTGTACGCTTACTTGGATTGGGGCTGCAGTGAGCGCTGTATTAGGGCATAAGATGTACTCCAGAGACATCACGTTCGGGCGACACTGTGCTACAGTTTCGACCATGTTGTTCTTCGTATGACTAACTTGATACTTCGTATAATCTCTGGCACTTCGTCGAAGTTCGGGGAGGAAGAGAGATGCGCTTGAGGAATGGCAATAACTTAAGTTTGCTCGACGTTAAAAGAGTGACAGTGTTTAAGGAGGGATATGTGCTATGACCAGAGGCTCGACGCCTGTAAGAGTCTTTAAGTGGCAATCAAAGTCAGCCTCTGCATAATACGTCACTGAGGAACATATGTCGCCATAACTTAAGCGGTATGAACGGCCTTGTGGTCTAGAGGTACGATACTTGCTTTGGGTCATCACAACTGCAAGTGGCCTGGGTTCGATTCCCAGCAAGGCCCTGTTTTTTTCTTTCCTCCAATGTCACTTCCGCATTAAGATTTCACTTTTCACTGCGCCCAACGTGTGACTATGATTTATCGCACCCTCTTCCCACTCCAGTTCATCATTTGGAATGTCATCCAGGGTGCAGCGGCAACGACAAATGCGGAGCACCATCACGGTGACCCCGACTGCCCGTGAAGACAGTTTTGAGGCACTTCTACGGACCACGAGCCAGTTGTGCCGTCGCCCTCAATGCTGTTACCCAACCTCCAACACTCCATAGTTCGGATTTTTCGGAACTTTATCATACTCGTTTTGTGTCGTAGCACCGCGGCAAGCCCAGGCTTAGGCTTACTTGCATAAGTTATTCTTTAGTGCTCATAAGATGGATTCAGACGCACACGCATGATGTACGTATCAGAACTACGACTGAAAATTTCAAAGTGCTCATAGTATAAGTATAGGGAGTTAAACTTCATCGTCAGTCAAGTGATCAGGACACAAACGGCAATTATAACCAAGTTTGACAACTTACCATCAAGATGCATATGGTAAACACCTTGCGGCTCTCCAGTCACAGACATATATATGAGGACTAAGCGAGACTGCCGGTCATTTTCGAATTGTCATGTCATAACTCCTGGAAGTTGCGACGCATCTGTTTGATCATGAAACTTTCCCTGGAGGGATAAGTTGTAATCCGTCAGAGTCATGATATGATCTGGGCTGGTTATAACTTCTTCCGCCTCTGCACTGGTAAGTCCAAAATGACTCATCTGCGCCTCTGCGCTTGGAGTAAGTCCAAAGTGACTCGTTTGCGCCTCCGCGCTGGAGTAACTCCAAAAAAAGTGACTCGTTTGTTCGTGGATACAGTTATAAAGACCGGTGCGTGCTTTGTATATATTGCCATTTACGCATTTTAACAATGATCCCTTCAGTTGATTCTACTTTCCTCGTTGGCGCCGTCTTACCAATTTCGCTTGTGATCATCACTATCGCCAGGCGGTTCATAGTGAGCAGACAGCATGGACCCCTTCCTCCCGGCCCAGTGCCGCTCCCACTACTTGGGAACATCTTGTCCATCGACACCGGGGAACCTTGGTTAACTTATACTAAATGGCGGGCCACTTATGGTATGTGAACGAACAATTTAACGCACATGAAACAAACCATGCTTTCAGGGGACTTGATTTACGTGCAGATTCTGGATCAGGGAATGATCGTGATCAACTCTCCGCAAGTTGCAGAAAATTTGCTGGAAAAACGTTCTCGGATTTACTCCGATCGACCGTACTTGGCCACAATGGAGCCGTATGTTTGTTCCACTACTATTCCATTCAATCACTCTGAGGTGTATGCAGATACGGCTGGTCATTCAGCTTTGGATTCTTAGGTTATAATGACGAATGGCGTCTCCGTCGACGACTCTTCCACCAAACTTTCCGTTCCGAGTCTGCACTCAAGTTTCGCCCAATACAGATCAGGCAGGCTCGTCAGCTGAGCGCCAACATCATCGACGACCCTGAACATTATCATTCCCACTTCTCAACGTCAGCTAACCTATGTTTAAATATCGAGTGATTATTGACCGGTTCGCAGATTCACGACGTCCACTATGATGTCAGCTGTATATGGATACGAGTCCAGTGCTCGTGACGACTCTCTTGTTCAGCTTGTCGAAAATGCAGTGCATCTTGGCATTAGTGTTTTGACCCCAGAAAGAGCAGCCATGGTTAAAGCCTTCCCGCTCTGTAAGCTCAATCATGACGAGAAAGAAATATTTTGTGCACAATTTAACTTGGAACGCAGTACTAAAGATACCTGACTGGTGCTGGGGATCCTCGATCAAACGTGAGGCTCAAGCTTCAACTGATCGCTTCAAGGACATGAGGGACCTTCCGTTTCAATATGTACAGAAGCACATGGTGGATATCTGTTTTCTATTTGTTTGTCTTGGGGAGTTGACTCATGATTCTCAAGGCCGATAGCTCGTTCCCAGGTCAATCATCGATGGTTGCAGAAAACCTGCGACGGATAGAGGAGCAAGACTCGGACGAGACATTGAAGCCAATGCTTCAGGCTGCTGTGAAGGACACAGCAGCTGCCGCTATTGCGGGTGAGTGACCTGTTTGCAAACACACGATGCGCTTTTGACATATAAACGTTATGCAGCTGCATATGAGTCGGTTCGTGGAGTCCGAAACATCTTTTCTCCTGTTTGACCTCTTTACAGTCTACTTCAACCTTGATGGTCTTTGTTCTGGCCATGGTGTTGTATCCAGATGTCCAGACTCGCGCACAAGCAGAGATCGACACACTGATTGGAAGAGATCGGTTACCTACGTTTGACGACAGAGAATCACTGCCATATGTTGATGCACTCGTACGGGAGACTCTCCGATGGAACCCCACTGCACCACTTGGTAATCTTCGTCGCTAAACCATCTCGTCTTAACTGACGACCGTCTTAAAGGATTTCCACGTGCTACCAGCAGCGACGATACATACGATGGTTATTTCATCCCAAAAGGTTTGCTATCTTCAATGAACACATCTCGAATCAGCTGAATATGTACATCAGGAACGACGGTCATGACCAACATGTGGTCAGATAGAGTTTGTTCGGCTCAGCTCTCAGCAACTGACGTGATCATAGGGCCATTACGCAGGATGAAACGCGGTACCCAGACGCCTCTCGCTTTATGCCAGAGAGGTTCATCGACAGCGATGGTGCGTTGACGGATGATGATCCTAAGCAATATATTTTTGGTCGAGGTCGCCGTATTTGTCCAGGTGGGTCATATCATTATAATGTCGTGTAGCATGCGATGACATAGGAATTCTTTAATTAGGCCGATATAGTGCTGATTTCTCTCTGTGGTCTGCCATTGTGACTATGTTGGCCACAGTGGATATTTCTTACGCCAAGGATGGCCAGGGCAAAGCAATCAGCTTCACACCCAAGTTCACGACTGGATTCTCTCAGTACTTGGTTTCTTTGGTCCTTCCAGCTCCCGTCACTGACGGTTTCATCTTCTTTAGCACCCCTCTCATTTTTCCTTGCAGTATTTTGCCACGTTCTCATTTTCATTCAGAGCACCTTCACGTTGATTGAATCGCCATGTCACATAGATATGCATGCGGAGATTTTCGGTGGAGAAATGATTGTTTCTAAGGACATGTTGTCTGACCGTCGGAACCTTAGTTGTACTTTCTCAAATAGCGTTTATGTTTTGAGAAACACGTCGTAAGCCCATCGACGACTTTCTGGAAGCGACCTGCGACTGAGAGACAAACATCTGTATCGAAAGAGCCATGAGATGGTCCCTACTGTAGTATGATACCCTCTGTAAGTCCTGTTCGAGTCCATTCGTGGCACGTAGGTGCCGTGGGTTTTCTTTAACGTTGATCAAGTGCGAGTCTACTACTAATTATAGGTAACTTGGATCAGCTGTGTAGCCTTTTGAATGTCGTGGACTACTATGGGGTAGTGGTGTTCCGGTATAGCGTATAAGTAATAATTGAGGGCTCTAGTGTAGTCTGTTTGCAGCTCTATGGTCAAGTCTCTCAAGTCGTTCCGTCTGTGGACTCTAATAATGTGTTGCCCCTCAACGGAGAGGGGTTCTCACTGTATAGGCTTGGAAGCAATTTTTTGGAGAAGTAAAAATACAACAAGCGTTTGAAACAGTCGGGCTAGACCGAAAACATACTGCTTAGAGTCATCATTCGCCAACGCACCATCAACGCTGATGAAAAGGGGCATAATGGGGTTCCATAGGAGTCTCTCGTACGATTGTATCAACATAGTGTAGAGATCCTCTATCCTCGAATAGCCAATCTCTTCCGAGCACCGAGTCTATCTGGATACGATACCATGGGGAGAATAAAGACCATTAACGTTGAACTAGTCTGTTAATAAGTTGAATAGCAAGCAAAACGGCTCAGAATGTACTCGCTGTCTCATATAGTGTCAATTGCCACCCACAAGCCATTGCCCAGAGGAGACTGACGGTCATCATGGCGCCAAGGACCACATTTGGCCTACCACAGCAGCGATCAGCATACGAGCGTCATCACCATCTTTCAAAATGATTTGTGTGAGTGTCGATGTGTCATTGACTGGATGGTCAAACGTCCTGGCTGAGAACACGGGAGAAGACCATGTCGCGGAGACGCGTGACCCAGCGCATCGTGGAGGTTTCATGACAAAGTATTTGGAACTAAGGAGAAAGCCAAACAAGGGCTGCGATTCCGAGGACACATAGACCTGTGCATCGCTCTCCAGGGCAGGTGCGCGATGCCTTGGACCCTGTCGACATGACCTCGCACCTCAGCGGTGGGTCGACTCATAGTCGACCGGAGTCGGTACTATAATGACAGTCGATCGGTGGGGAAAAACCTTTGTCTTTGTAGGAGCGAAGACTTGCGATATAACGAGCCTGCACAGTACATGTGTACGCTGAGAGACAAAGTATGAGTCATCCTTGTGGGCTGTCTGTGCTTTGCGCGTGGTTAATGAAAGTTCCTTAACCAAGAATGAAGGAATTACGGACCCAAGGGAGATAAGCCGTATATAGCGCCAAGAATGGAGCGCTGGCGCTTCATGCACACAGCATTATTAGGCTGTGCAAGGAACACGAGGATAACGCATGGGACACACTGTCTTCAACGAACACTACCTGTCCACACACTCTCAGCTTTCAAGACAACCCTCTTGCTAAATAAATATACATTCGTGTGGAGTGCTTGCGGTGGGTCTTATCGCGGGTGCATCTGCCAGGCCAAGCTGACCCATATCAGTGACTCAGACCCTAGAAAGGTCACCAAGCAGGCTGTCTCGTGAGTGCGTTTGAAGTGTTGAAATAACAGAAGATATGCTATCGACTCACCAGCGATCTTGGCTTTCGCTAGACAACCCATTCCAATCACTGTGGGCTGTTCATTTATCAATAGCCCGCGATCTGCTGTAGTTGAGCAGCCCAGGCTTGACCATGCCTCTGTCTACCGCTGAGACGAA